GCTAGGATACTGTGCATCCCCTACATGTTACAATGACAAAATTAAAGAACGGATGAAAGACATGAAGTATATCTTATACTCGGTATCACATTAAAATTAAAAAAAAAATGATAAAATAAAGAGAAAAAACATGAACTTCAGTGAAAGTAGTAAAGCAAGATATTGAGAGCGAGGGACAAAGATAGATGGTGTAACAGGGAAACTATATAGTATAAGCACATATCTAATCGTGTTTGTTGTCCATTGTTTGGATGCATGTAATCATGGGCAGCTTCAACTAATGGGCTCCAAATGCATTCATGTCTGTGTGCCCCTACACTATCAATTTTATCTTTTGACATTTTTATATTTTCATCAATTTTCTAGATTTTTTTTTTTAACTTTCCTTTGGCATATATATATAATTCTAATTTGTCCTTAGCTTCTACGGTTGCGTACGTACGTGATACCTCTCACAATTCAATCAGCCCAACTATATAGTGGCAACGTTTCAAACTAAAGAGGGGGGAGGGAGAAAAAGCCAAAAAGGAATTCTCTATCTCAAGCAATGAACCAAATGTAGGTGATAAAACGCTAGACAAGGTCATAAAATGAGTTCGTCACCACATTCACCAAACATGCTTATTTCATATATATACACATAGTAATTGATAAATGAAAAATAATACTTGAACATGTAGAATATTTTGATTTGTCCTCATAAGTGTAGACATTTAGTACTATGTAATGATAGAGAATCTCCCTATTAAGATGAATGTGTAAATGTACAAGGAGATATAATTTATGTAATTGTAAATCGGCTATCAAACTAATATCTTATTAATTAATGAGAATAAGTTGTAATAATATATGTGGTTAGAACTTAGATAGATCATAGAAGCTAGGGTTAGAAAACAAGCAACGAGTAGAGAAAGTAGGAAGTTATCCTAAGTTTGACTAGTACGTAGTTTAGATTTCTAATCCGAAAGTCCCAAAAGTATTTACAAAGGGCCTATTTCATAAAATTTCTAAGATCCTCCAATAAAATTAGACATTCTATTATTCTAACATGCTTAAAATGTCATTAAAATACGCTAATCTCTCAAATGACCTTCCATCCCTCCTAATACTAGACCACATACATTTCTTGTATTCAATTAACTAAACTGATCAAAGTCCAAGTTTGGATTTAATTCCCTTACATTCTTGACTTTTTGTTTTATTATATTATCTATTCTCCAAACTTTCATAATCAACTACGTAATTAGAGAATCTATGCCATTATTATTCATTTGCAAATGGTTTACAACTCTTAAAATTAAGAAAATTAACCCTAATATTATTCCTCATAGTCATAAAAGCCAAGCTTTAATTTTTATAGCAAAGAAATGCATTCTAGATGCTAGAGATATGAGATATCTAAAAATATATATGTGATATATATTCCCTAGATATAATTAGGAGTTTTCACAAAATCTAATATGATATATATCAGAGCACAAGTTTTGAGTCAACCTTGTTTCTGCAATATTTTTTTTTTAAAGCCCTAGCTATATTGCAAATAAGTAACATGAATGTTGTTATCTCAATTTAGAAGACTCGTCTTGATAATAAATACTTTTATTTATCAAAAATAGATATTATTACTATTATTAGCTAGGTAAGTCATATCATTATATTCACAAATATTATTGGTATAAATTGTATATTACCACTTTACCAGTAAGCAAATGATGCAACTGTATAAATTACCAAAGAATGGAATAAGCAACAGCATGTAAAGTTGAGCAAACGTGGTTTCTTACGAATTAAATAATGTTATCGAAGAAGCAAAAGAAAGCAGCAATAAGATTGATAAACCTGAAAATACAATCAAATAAGATAATTTCGTCATGTGATATGAGGATTTTTGAGGTATATAGAATCTATATCATCACTAAAGCTTGATGTCTAGTTGGTTGGGAACATAACAAAACTAGGAAAAGATTGATAGTTTATCTAGAATTCTAGATTTAACATCAATAGAAAAAAGTTGCTTGGTACATGCATGAATGTGTAATCTAGTGAAGGTTCAATGCAATCAATCTCTTTACCTACCTCTTTTTATCTTAAAAGTTAAGGTGAGTATGTTTTTATGCTTTATTAATTAATTAAAAAATCTTGATTAACTATTTTGAACCTTTTTTTTTTATTTGACAAAACCATTAAAAAGAAAATACAAAGAAAATAAAAGATTCTCAAATATATTACTTCCTCCGAATCTTTTTAGTTGCTGCACTTATAAAATTGTAGAATTCTAAACATTTTTTTTTTATGCCAACAAATTTTTTGATGTTTAGGAAATAAAATAAAATTACAAACATTGTCAGTACTAAGCTTCGAACCCATGACCTATTGACCTCAAGTAGTTATGGCTTCCTTTTGATCTCAACATAGAAAATCTAAACATATTAGGCTTTGAATCTTACTTTGGCATACCATATTCTAGATGGGTCATTTTAGCAAGTCTTGAAATTGGGTATGATTTGGGCTTTAAAAGTAATGATGGTCTTCAATAAATTGGGCTTAATTAGTTTTATTGGGCCAGTTAACTTTACTATCATTATAACTTGAGTCTACAAAAGTAAAACTCGCTATTGATTTGTACTTGTACTTGCATCATGTTTATGATTGTGTCTTAGTGACTACTTGTATTTCACTATAATAGCTTCTTTTTTAACCCTTGATGGTTGCTTTGTTTCTTCATGCCTGCCTACTTGAGTACGAGATTCTGTTAAAAAGTTTGTATGTAAGTTTGATGCATATGATATACATGTAATCTTTGTCTTAGGAGCTCGTGTGACCAAGCTACATGCATGCGATGAATATCAAATAACAAAAACAGAAATAGATAAATCTATGATGCGTCACTAAGATTTTGTTTATTGGTTTGATGTAAAATGTTTTCATGTAAAAATGTTTTACTATGTTTGATTTGTAATATTTGATAGCAGCTTTCGCCATCCGGTGACCGGTGCCAAAGATTCTTGAATTGTGGTGAGAGGTTTAGCTTCAAGTAAAACTACTTTTGTGGTAGCATGTAAGATTGTAAGTACGATATGCAATGGTGCTCATCCATGTAATAAGAAGCCTTTTGGATTATGGAGTATTTGGACCTCCAATATATGGGCCATAGAATCCATTCACTCCTTGGGCCTTTTTCTACCCAAAACTAAGAGTTCGATTTTATTTGCATTTTGTTGTTTTTTTTTAGATCCTCGTTTTATTCGTAAGTTATCTTTACAATCTTAAAATTACAACAATTCTTTTAGAGGGTTGAAAAAAAATACTCCGTAGTCCACTAACTTAAATTAAATGTTAAAGGTGATTTTTTTTTTTTTTGGTGTTTAGAAAGCCACAAGGGCGGGGTGAGAATCGATCTCAAAATCTCCTAAAATCGGGAGGAATGCTCTAACCACTTGATCTATCCCTCACTCTCAAAAGTGAATTAATTTTAAGGGCTACGAGTATATTATACACACTTTTTAAAATGGAATTGAGTTGGAAATTCATAACAAAATTACGCACAAATCAGCGTAATTAATGTTATTTTATCTTTAATATTTCTTCATTTTAGCTTCTTATACATAGTTTGACCTTTGATTAATTAATCAATCTTTTATTGATTGACCTCCTGTGGATTAGAATTTTTTTTTTTTTGCAATGGTATACAACTTTGGACCTAACGCGCGACCCAGTAACCTTTCGAAATGGGGGATCCCCGATGGCAACAACCACGGTAGTAGTTGCGGAACTACTGGATCGGGAGAGGACAATAACCTTATTGCCTGCTCCTCTTTCTTCGCTTCGGGGACGGAGGTCCTACGGTAGCAGTTAATCTACTCGTATCATTTTCCTTTTACGCATTAATTAATGTTTTGTTGTTCAATTCCTTGTTTGGTTGAAATTCATGAATTTCAAAGGACATTAGGAGCTTTTCCATAACTTTTTAACTCATAAAACTAAATCCCAAATATGGAGTTAAAAAAAACCATATTGCCCATACCTCAAGACAAATTAATTTCAACCTTTGAATTGACTAAATACATTAAACTTAGCTTAGGTGTGGATTGGTTGGTAAACTCCTAGATTTTTTTTTTTTTTTTTTTTTTTTTTTTTTTTTTGTGTTGTTTGATTGATAATTTCATGGAAACTAAGAATTTCAAGGGAATTTCACTTCTCATAAAATGAAGGAGTTCAAATACCTAGGAAAACATAGATAAGTTGAATTTCTCATGGGAATGCAAATTTGACATTTCTTAGGAATTTCAATTATATAGGAATATAAATTTATAAGGAATGCAATTCCTACATTCAATCAAACAAACCATTCTTTAGAAATAAAAATCACTATGAAACTAAGAGAACATAATACTCCATATTGTATTAATTTGATAAGATACGAGTACAAATCACAAATATACTTAAATACAACACGACTAGACTGTACTTAAACTAAGTTATTCAATGCTCAAACCAAATTCATACTCACTTATTTTTTAAGAGATGCGTTTTGGTTTTTTACACTATTCACTTAGGGCCTACTCTCATACGTTTATTTTCAGTTCAGGTCGATTCAGTTCAGTTTAGTTTATCTTAGTTCAGTTCAGTTTAGCTCAACTCAGCTCCTAATTTCCTTCTCTTATAAAATATTCATTTCACTTTAGTTCAGTTCAGTTTAGTTCAGCTGATTTCAGTCTATGAGAATAGGCCCTTAATTCCAATTTGAATGGATTCAAATCAAATGATCAAATTCCCAATAGCGGGTGATGCTCACCCTCAAAGAAAAGCCGAGACAATAGTGATCAAAGTCTCAATTACGCGCCGCCGACTTTGTAAGCAAACATGCATTTTTCATTTTCACTTTTACCCCAAAATCTCTTTTAAATTTAAAATAAATAAAAATTTAAAATAAATAAATAAATAAAACCTTAATTTCCACATCAGCAATAAAAAAGTTGGTTATATAAGACGGCCTAATATTTCATCCAATTTTAAGGCGTCCAGCTTTCTCTCTCTAACATCCCTCTTCTCTCTCTACTTTCTCTCTCTACTTTCTCTCTCTTCTTTCTCTCTGATTACAGAGTTTTTGAAGCAGCGAAACCCAGCATCAAACCTACCAGTAGAAGAACAAGAAGAATTCAAAGATCATCAATTTATTTATTTTCGGATTTCAAATCGTCGATCGTTTACCCTAGTTCATTCAATTTTATCGACATCTTGGCTATTTCTGGTAATAATTTTTTATTCTGATGAAAGCCCTAAATTTTAATTGGACCAATTTTACCCACCTTCTTTTTTGATTGTTTCTTGTGTTTTTGTTTATGAATCGAATTTAGTGTTTCGGGGATCTTGGTTTTGTTTCTAGGGTTTTGATTTTGGTGGGATTTGTTGGGTTCTTGTGTAAAGGTTGAATTGCTTGGTTTTGATTGTTGTCAGTTTGAGGCGGCGGATGTTTGCTGTTGTTGATTGAGTTTTTTGTTGCATTGTTTCAAATGTACGAACTGTAATTGCCTGTTGAATTGAATTATTTTTCTGGGTTTGATTTTTCATGGTTTATGATTGGATGAATTCGAGGTTGGTCCAGCAAGAAACCCAGAAGAATTGTTAAACTGGGTTAAAAATTCAAGCTTTATGTTGTGTTTGAAATGTTACTCGGTAGATTTGCTGTTTGGTATTTAGGATTTTTGTGAAAGTAGGTTGTCATTTGCTTTGATACATTAGTCTGTTGTTAGTTATGCGTTGGTAATTAGTTTGAGGCTCTACTTGCTGACTTTTGCTGGAAATTGGTTCGATTTCGGCATTATACAATGTGTATTAGGCAAAAAGGCCTAATTAAATGATGGTGATTCCATTTCAAACACAGATTGGAGAAGATAGAACTGGTTGGTTTTGCGATATGGACACCGATGTTTTATTCATCAAGGAAGCAAAGTTTTTGCGAGAATGTATGTTACTCTGGCTTTACATGAAAGGTTTTGAGAACAATTTTTCATGGACTTTTCAGAATTATATGGCTAAAGATAACTACTCCCTCCGTCCCCGAATGATAGTCACTATTTCCATTTTTGGACACCCAAAATGTTAGTCACATTTCACAATTTTAGGTCCCATACAATAACACAAAATGACCTATGTACCCTCATTTTTTTTGGATGTATTATCTGTGCTTCCCAAAACACCCTCATATTTGCCTTTGTACTTGTGCCTTAATTGAATGAGTTGTCTCCCTTTTTAATAATGACAATCAGTTTCTCTCTCTTCTTTTTGTTTTGCACATGATTGAATTTTAGTTCCCATGTACTTTATTTATTTCTCCTTAATTCCCGTGATTTTCACCCAAAAGTGACTATCATTCGGGGACGGAGGGAGTATATACCATTGGTTTGCTTATGGCAGCAGCAACAACCGTGTATGGATCATTCCCTGAGTTGGGCTGGTAAAGGTAACAGTGTTCAAAGCCGTGTATACTGAAAGATCACATGGGAAGACTTGTATACTAGTTGTCTGATTTACGTCTTAGTGCACAGGTGGAGTGTATCGTTGTATCTATGTAGTATTAGCAGGCAGCTGTAGTTTGGATTGCTTGTCAGTCAAATACTCAGAAGGTGCAGATAATGTGGAATTACTTTGGGTTAAGCAGCAGACACTTGGTATAAAATATACTGTTGGTCTGTCATACCGTCTCTAATTTCTTTAGGTTTCTTCTCCTATGATATGAGCTAAGGTTTTAGGGTGAAAGTTGAGGTATGCTGGTTCACTCATGTGGAGAACGTTACAGATGTCTGCATTTGAAGGGGCCAACTCCCATTGATCCATTTCACAGGGATGTTCATGGTGTTGTATATCTTTGGAAGAGAAGCTAACAGTTACTAGTATGTATGTATGTCAATTGATATTTGCTAGAAGAGACCAATGTGTTTTACTTGTGAATGAAGTGATGGAAATATTATTTGTTTTGATTTCTTTTTTGATCATGTATCTGCAAGGCATGGTGATAAAATGCTGTATTGGTTTTGCTGTTTTATTACTTTCATATTGCAGTGTTATTTAAAATTAATGATCAGTGGAATAGATTGTACGGGTTAGTTTATCATTCAGCTGTGGGGTTTTAAGCTGGAAAGAGTTCTTTCTTTATTGCATCACTAAGCTTACTCTCCTTTTTCCTTTACCATGATATGGCATGGTGGAATGATATGCAGATATGCTCATCAATTTGATTATACTAAAGATTAATTGATTTTTGTTCATATTTTTTTTGAACAATCTTGCAATACTGAATACAATCTATCATTATGCAACATGTCAACATCATGGTTTTGCTTTGCTCATTTTCGGGTTCCTCTAGTTGGAATTTGGATCATTATGTAATGGAAATTCACAAAATATGAATGTTAACTCTCCATAAAAAGAAGTAACCCCATCTCAGATCAAATCATTGAATTGGTCTCATATGCTCATATAGTCATTCTAGACTTAGGTTGTTACTTGTTGGTGTCCTATACTTGAGTATTTGGGTTCACTTGGTCATTTGCTTAATGAATTCTCTGTGTGATCTAGGTATCAAACTTCAGTATATCAATATGCCTAAGGCAAGAAGAGATCGTTCTGTCTCTTTTGAGAGATCTAGAAAATCACCTGTTCCTTGCAGCTCGAGTTTGTCTTGTGAAACTAAGGCCAAAAGTCCTCCAGCAACAGTGGAAGACTTGAAAGAATGGGAGGATGCCAGATGTGCCGTTTGTATGGAGCATCCTCACAATGCTGTGCTTCTCATTTGTTCGGCATATGACAAGGGTTGTCGCCCATACATGTGTGATACCAGCTATCGACACTCCAATTGTCTAGACCAATTTCGCAAGTCATTCACAGAAGATTCAACAGAAACGCTGACAGAAGAAGGAATTCAGCCTGCTGTGCAGTCATCAGACATTGTGGCCGTTGAAACTGTGGTGACCTCGCAGGACGAAGGGAAATCCCAAGGTTCTGTTGCTGAAGAGATTGCTAGCATGCATAAGCTTCAGCAGAAGCTTGTTTGCCCTTTATGCCGTGGACAAATTAGTGGGTGGGTTGTGGCAGAGTCAGCTCGTGATTTTATGAATGCCAAGATTCGGAGCTGTGCCTGTGAGACTTGTGAATTTAGTGGCAATTATACTGATCTGAGAAAGCATGCAAGGGTAGAGCATCCCCTAGTGAGACCTTCTGAGGCTGATCCTGAGAGGCAGAGAAATTGGAGAAGACTTGAGAGGCAAAGGGATATAGGTGATGTGCTCAGTACAATCCAATCTTCCTTTATGGAAGATCAAGATGAAGATGCCAATCTTCAGATGGATGAGCGTGGTTGGATCACCATATATTTCCTCTTTCGGGTTTGGCGTCCTTCATCTAGTCCCAGGAGCAGCAGTAGTTGGTCTGGTACCTCCAGGTCTCGAACCCGAGCACAACAGGGTACTAGGAGGAGATCGTCTGCTAGGTTATGGGGAGAGAGCCTTGAGGCTGAAACTGGATCTGCTTCCGTAGAGGATGAGGATTCCTCTGATGACGGTTCAGTCCCTTGGAGGCGTCGTGTGAGAAGACGTCTACCCACCCCAGACGACGAATCTTGAGTGCCTTAAATAGAGTTACTTTACCCGAAGAGAACTGGACTTGGGCATATCTTTCTTGCTGAATATCTTTGTTGCAGTTTGGCATGTGTCTTAGTTTAAAATCGTCAACTTTCTCAGGCATTTGGGGGGATTCAGGGATAGTATCAGTGGCTAATAGGAAGCTGCAGAACTTGGAGATAAATTCGCTTGGGCAGTTCCTTTGCTTCACTTTCAGATTGGTTCAGAACTGTACTGAAGAATTTCTTTGATACTCATAGAATATATGCTGGCTTATCAGTGTATCACATATAAAATGAGCGAGTTTGTAATTTTCTTCTCGAAAATGTACCAATTTGAAAATGATACTAATTTTTATACCTCTATGGTTTGCACTTTGCAGTGCAATTGCAATCCTTATTTTCCTCCTTTTTTTTGCACTTAGATTTTTCCCCTAAATTCATTTGGTGTTATTTATAATAGAATATCTAGGTACCTGTGTGTATATTTTATCTTTGAATAATGAAGCAAATATTATGTTGTCCATTTTTTTTTTTTTCTATGGAGGAATCAGTTCTTGACGTTCTTGTTCTCTTTCAAAGAAGTTGCCATGTCTAAAAGTCTCACCTAATTATTGAATTGAGCTGTTTCCATATCTATAAATGGAATCCAATTTTTTTCATTGCTCAAAGTACTAAGGAAGCGAGTATACTGAATATGAAGTATATTATCTCTAATAAATAAGTTAATGAATCCTATGTTAGAAACATTTTGGTTCGTTTCACCCTAAGTCCCCATAGATTCTTCTAATGATGAATTGTGAAGTCATTCTTACTTATAATAAACTAGTTTATATTATCGTAATAAAATCTTCCTTTTTATTCGGGATTTTATCCTTGATTTCAGGTCTCGAAATCTTGAGTACGATCCTCAAAACTTAACTAATTAAACTAGTTGATCATTCACTTGTATAACATAGGTATCGTATGCGCTTGTTTTATTTATGAGAAACCGAAAGCTATGAGCGTGTTCGGCAGTCGACACTAGTAAAAGATATGAGCGTTAATATTATTAGTTTTTGTGAAAAGCTAGGTAGCTGTTGGATTTTTTTCTTCTACATTTTTTGAATTTTACAGCTAATACTAGTTAACAACAACTTTACCGGACAATCATACTTATGACCTGTTCATATTTACCGAACTAAACTGAATATTTTATGAAAGAAGGAAATTAGGAGCTGAAGTGAAATTAATCTAAAGTGAACAGACTCTTAATCATTATTTTCACAGCTACACATACAACTAACAACTATTATTACAGCTATATTTTGCCGAATACGCCCTATACTATATTTCTCCTTAATATTAACCACATTTTCTAATTTTTTTATGTTGAAAAAAAAAGCAAAGATATTCACCGTATAATGGATTTGGAGCCTATATTTTGGCTAGTAAATAAAATTCCCAAACTACCTCATCCTTTCATACCCTCACTCAACTTTCTCTGCTTTCTCTTCACTGAGCAACCACCACACCCGTTTTCTTCCGGGTCAGAAAACCACTTTCCGACTGGGTCGGACTTCTGCTCCACCAGGCCCAACACCGGCCCACCTGCAACTCCACACCGCACCTTTACCAAAATCCTCTATTCAGGTAAATTCTTTCGTTGCTTCACTCTTTCGTTTTTTTTTGGTAATTAATTATCATGTTGGCAACTTCAAATATATTTTTTCAGAATTTTGTTTGTAATTTGTTGAAATACTTGGGTAGTTAAATGGGTTTATAAGAATTGATTGATTTTGTGACTTATTTTTGAAGCTACTAAATTGTTTTCCAAGTTTGAATATTTCTTGATATATAGGATAATTGTTATATAAATTGAAAGTTTTGAGCGTTATTGCTTGGTAATTTTTCAAAAATATGTGTTTCTACTAATCTTGGATGATGGTATTATACATTGCTTCTTACTGAAATTGTGATTTTTGTTGGATGTTGGATATTGCGTTAGAAGACAAAAGTGAGATTATGATAATGTTTTTCTGTGTCTGATAAACTAGAGTGTACTCGTATTAATGCACGGAATATATCGAGTATGCAAAGAAAGTCGATCTTGTTAGTAGTAATGGAAGTTATGGGGAGCTTGTTGTTAGCATCAGATTCTTGGGTTGTTTAAATGACAAAAATTGTTGTATTTGATTTTCTTATAATTATGTTTAATTGGGTGTAATTATCCTTTGATTATGGCTGTTGTCTTCAATGATATGACATTATATTGAATTTTAGGGTAGCATGTACATATGAACTTTCTGACCTCCAATATGAATTTTCTAGATCCGATATTGGCCGCGAGTCCTGGAGATGCAATGATGCTTACTTGGTTGAATACATATAACCTCTCGCCCTCTCGGTGAGCCTGCTTGAATCCATCTTGCTTTCTGTGGCATAAAACTTCAAGCATGGAAGTTTCTTGCCACCACACTCTTTCTCTATCGACTAATTTTCCAAAGTTTTTCTCTACAATGTCCGCTACTGGATTACTTACTTCCATTCCATTTCATAACACTGCTTTCCTGAATTTATTTCCATGTAAACTCAATTTAGTGCCAAATTTTAAAGCTGAGGCTATAGCAACTCATAATGTGGGTCTTAAGGACTTACCACACCGTAAAAACTGCATATTGTCAAGAATCCAACATGCTAATGATTTTGTTAACTCTAATCATCAAGCTGTGGAAGATGAGGTAGTTGAATTTTTTGCTCTCCTTAACCAAATAAACAAAAATAGTGGTGGAACTAACAACATTTCTTCCACTTGTAAACAAGTCCATGGTCATCTTGTCAAAGTGGGTGCTTTAAAGGCTGATGCTTTCATAGGGAATATGCTAGTGGTGGCGTACTCAAAGAGTTTAGAGTTGTTAAATGATGCTATCAGGCTATTTGATGAAATTCCAAGAAGAACTGTATCCGCGCATGCTGCTTTGATAAGGTCATTCTGTCGATCCGAGAAATGGGTTGATCTTTTCTTGGCTCTTGGGATGATGATAAATGATGGCATGTTACCTGACAGATATCTTATACCAACTATCTTAAAAGCTTCTTCTGTGATGGGAGTGGAAAACATTGGTAAAATGGTTCATGGATATGCCATTAGAAGAGGGCTTGATGAGGATGTTGTTGTTGGGAATGCTCTTATTGATATGTATACAAATTGTGGGGGATTACGATTGTCGAAGATTGTTTTTGACACAATGAACTCACGGGATGTGGTTTCTTGGACTGCCCTCATTGTTGCTTATATGGTTCACGGTCTTCTTGACAAGGCAATGGATATATTTTGCAAGATGGAGTTGGAAGGTGTGGAAGCCGATTTGATTTCTTGGAATGCCCTTGTCTCAGGCCTTGCCATGAATGGGGAGATTGAAATGGCTCATAGAAGTCTAGAAGAGATGCAAAGAAAAGGGGTTAGGCCAGAAGAGAACACTTGGAATGGAATTATTTCAGGCTGCATTCAGAATGGATTTTATGGAGATGCTTTAGATGCATTTGTTAAAATGTTTCGGACTTCCTTGATCCCTAATGTTGTGACAGTCTCCAGCATTCTACCAGCTTGTGCTAGCTTGAAGGATCTAAATTTGGGAAAAGCAATTCATGGATACGTTATTAAACTTGGTCTTCATGGCAATTCTCATATTGATGGGTCATTAATTGGTATGTATTGGAAAAATGGAAGGATTGATGATGCAGAAAATATTTTCGTCAGGATAATGCACAAAAGTACTTTCGTATGCAATGAGATGGTTGCAGCTTACATGAGTGATGGAAATGTGGAGCCAGCTCAAAGCCTTTTTGTATCAATGAAAGACTCTGGTCCAAAACCTGATGTTATTACTTATAACACTATGCTTGCTGCCTGTTTTGGGCATGGAAGAATTGAGAACATTTTCAAACTGCTGTATGAAATGACTGAAATGGGTTTGCTACCAAATGTTGTTACATTCAACATTTTAGTATCTGGCTATCAGCAAGCTGGCATGAGTCATGAAGCTCTGAGATTTTTCCAGGCCATGCAATCACCTCATAGTGGCAGCTTTCTTCCACAGATAATGGAAAATTCGATTGAACCAAATACTGTAACTGTTACTGGTGCCCTTGCAGCTTGTGCTAATTTAGGTTCTTGGCGCCATGGGAAAGAACTTCATGCTTATATTGTCAGAAAAGGGCTTGACTCAAATATTTTTGTATCAAGCGCACTTGTTGATATGTATGCAAAATGCAATGATATAAACTCAGCAACAGATGTTTTTTGGAGAACAAATAACAGGAATACGGTTACATGGAACACGTTGATTGCAGGTTACATCAACAGTAGGTTGGAGCATGAGGCATTCAATCTCTTTGATAGAATGCTTAAAGAAGGGGTAGAACCAAGCCCTGTTACTTATATGATACTCATTCCTGCCTGTGGAGAAACAGGAGCTCTTAGATTAGGGAGAGAAATGTATGGATACCTTCTGAAGAATCAGTTTGATGAGTCTGATGATTACCTTGCAAGACCTTTGATAAATATGTATGATAACAGTGGCAGGGAGGCCAAACAGGTATTTGACTCCAAGCTACAATTTAAGAGCACATTTAAATATGATAATCTAATGAAATACATTCATTATACTTCTTTTGTACCTATTTCTAGATACTTTTAGAACCTTTCTAAGAAATATTGGAGTTGCTCAAAAGAATAGTATTACATGTTACCCAAGTATATTATCTATAGTGGAAACACTAGACTTTTATACATTATAACTCCTAACTTTTTGCGTCCTTGTGCTGTACGGAGTAAGAAAATTGATGATGTGGATGGCCTACCAAGCATTTTTGTTCAGCAATGTCCACAACCACAAGACATCAGTGATGGAAATTTGAGATGGGAGAGAGAGGATACTTGTTCCATCAATGGTTATGGGAGGGAAAAAAGGGAGGAAACTTGAGGAAATTATACCATCCCAATATTAAATTTGCTAAGCCAGCATTCTGTAAAGTGCCAGTGCTTTAGCAAAGGTGGTGTGTCATTTCAACATTTTTCTCGGAGCAATGGAGTGGGGCAGTGGGCCAGAATTTCCATAATGGTTATGCATAAAAGTATATAACAATAATTTAGACAAAATATGGAAAGTTTATGCATGAGGAAATATCTCTGATCCAATGTGAAGAAGCTTCATCGTTTCCTCTAGTATTTCTTCAAGTTCAAAGAGCATAAGGAGTTGCTTGCTTTGGAATTTTCTCTATGATTTTAACTAAAGCAAAGGATTAGTGAGTTACATGTGAAGAACTAGTGTTATTGCTACCTTGATGTTGCTTGGCTCAGCATACAGGTTAGTTGTCGTTTCTTGATGTTTTCATCGAATTAGAATTCTGTAATGCTGTATGGTAGGTTTATTTGACATGTCTCTATATACATGCACTTCAATCCAAGACATTCTCTTGATGAGTTAATGTATATAATTGTAGCCCATGGTAAACTATTTAGGTGCTAAATACCAGTGTAGATTTGCATTATATGGGCCATTCTTATTAAAACTCTACTGAAGGCTATTTTAATATAAGCTATATGGTAGCCTTTTGGTATTATTTGTGATGTTACTTGTGCTTATATTATCAATGGACTGCATGTATAACTATAACATTTTTTATTTTTATTTTTATAATGGTTTAATAATTATTATACGAATTATAACTAGTGTAATAAGTGTTTACCAAAGTCTTAGTTTGCGTTTGTCTAATTATGCTATTAGTGGTATTTCATTGATACAATTTATAATGTTTACTAGGTGAAGATATGAAGCATCATTCCATCAATAATGAATATATGAAATTCCAATTATTCTGCTGACCAAAGTATCATAATGTCGATATCCTTTGGTTGTAGAATATATGAACTAAATTTGTAAATGTGCAAGATTGAGAAATTGTTGATAGTGATGTAGGACAACATATTATATACGACTGATGAATTAGTTTTTCTACAGAAGGGAAACTTCCTTGAACTGTTACTTGGAAGGAATTTGAATTTATCCTTCTGCAGCATCTGCCCTGAACAACATAGCTTGTGAAATACATGTGGAACAGAGTTTTCAATTTACTATACTGCTGTAGATACGGTGATGCTCTTTGGCGTAGCTGCTGCCTTGTGAATTTGCTACAGCTGTAACTTCCTGTGTACTATTTCTGTAGAAGTTGCTAGTATGTCTGTAGCAAGTGTTGCTGCTTCTCTAGCTTCTTTCAGAGTTGTTTCTTGGAGCTGCACAAGCTACAACAGCATAGCTTACCTGCTTTTTTCATTGTTGTTTGTTGGTTCCAACTTCCAACTATCTTTATGCTTCGCATCTGTTTTTGTTTGTTGAATTGACCACCTTATATTTTGATGATTGACCTACATAAAACAAACTTTGACTAACGACGTTTATGAGTCTTGGTTAAAACAGAAGATTCAGGTTTGAAGTTAAATGTTCCGGAGTAGGAACAACAGAGTTTGGAAGACTTGATGATGAATGCAAGCTTTCAAGATGTCCTCACAACTCTATATTCTTAGTTACTCAGTGTACGAACTTAAGAAACAAAAGTGTTGGAAAGAATTAAGAAGAAACTCGAAGTTCCTGAAGGAACTTGACGAATGACTCAGAAAGTTTTAAACGAAAGTTTTAAAACGGTTTTCAAAAACCCTTAATTTAAGGAAGTGATAAAAATCTGTTTTGAAAAAGATTTAAAAAGATTTTATAAATAAATAAATAATTCATTAATTTAAAAAGATAAGTTTTAAATTAATTAATTATTTATGTTTTAATTAATAAATAAATAATTATCTTTTTTTAATAAATAATAATTATCTTTTGAATAAGTCTTTAACTGATTTTTAACTTGGTAAATATTGGCTGCTTAAATTAAGGAGCACGTTGAATTTAGGAGTCAAGCTAGGGAAATCATGTTCCTAAATTTCCTCTGCCTACATCCCAACTTCTCAGTCAAAGAGAACGTGGGATTAAGGGGGAAGTGGGAACTTGATGGAAGCTTGGTTTAACTCCTTATAAAAACAGATCAACGTTAAGTTTTGAAAGTGTGGAAAAACAATCTTAAGTATTCTGAGCATAGAGTTTCAAAGTGTTTAAAAGAGAAGTTCCTTCCATCCTTAGTCTCTTAAGTTGTTTAGGAAATACTTGTAATCATTGTGTAATTGGGTTTGAGTTGTGAGAGTTGTAAAGTGTGAGACTTGAAAGAGTTGTTTACACTGTACAAGTGATTCGGAGTAGAATCACAAAGTGTGAGAAACTGTGATGAGGGATCACAGTTGGGTAACTTGAGTTCCTCACGGAACTTGAGTCTAGGCAACGTATTAGTGATTGTAAATCATTTTTACATAGTGAATTTATTCATTGCCTATCTTAGTAGTAGATTTAATTCCGCAAAATTTACCATAGTCTACATACACTACAATTCACCCCCCCTCTTGTAGTATACATTGTTCTATCATTGTTGTTGTTTTTTTTATTTTGCTTACTCTAAATTTTTTTCCATTCTACTTCTGTAGATGCTGAGGGCATAATGAAACACTTTTGAGACCTGAGTTTGAATCAGTATAACCAACTAAAAACTAGGGCAGTTCTCACTTTGTAACTCATATTGTAGAGCTGACAAAATGACGTAGCATTGTGTCCAATCATTGCAATAAGCAAGTGTTATGTCTGTGACTCTGTGTTAATGTTTAATGCAAAGTTGACATTGTTGAGTTGGATTAAGTAATCTTGTTCTCAATCTTTAAGTATCTGTTAAAGCCTTGCAGAGATAGATTTTGGTTAAACATCAATTTATGATTAACATTTACGTTTTCTGGAGGCTAAATCTCTGGCAGAGTGCTGAAGTAGATTGGCATACACAAGGCGATGTTGGTATCAGCTGCAATATACATAAATTTTTTTTAGTTCTGCAGTATTCTGCTGAACTTTCAGTTCCAGTTACACTGGTAGATTGGTAGTTAGCATCCCTGACAAAAGACAGGCTCTCACTCTCTCAGTGATACAGAGACTGTTACTAAGCTAACTGCAGTGATAGAACGCTACCTGGAGACCAAGCAATGAGTTGTTTTTTTTGAGAGAGCTGATACCTTTAAACTACAAATACATGATCATAAATTGTTTTCTTAAAAATTATATTTGGGATTGTGCTGCTGTAAGGGATAGTGTTGAATGTTATACCAAATTTGTCGCCTATTATCTTCAGAACTTGATGTCTTACTTGAACTTCATTGATAAATGGAATGGACTTCACCAGATATCATTCGAGCTGTTGAGAATCGAAAGGTTTGACCTTGCAGCGCCAAGCTTTCCTCTCTTTTCCATTGAAAAGAAATGATCACAGCATCACAGACCTGCAGAAGCGGCATCTCATACTACAACATTGCATTAAACGGTGCTTCATGGATATTACAGGCTTAACAGCGAGATTGACATTGAAAAAGAAAAGAAAAAAACCACTGTCAATTTAATTCAATAGTTTCTGATTTTGATCAATGTGTTAATCTCACATTAATGAACTCGTATGCCCCCCAAAATTACATAAAGCAGTATATCTATACTGCAATACTGCTTTGCAGTTGCAACATGTTTTTGTACATTATTATTATTTCTTAGAATAATTTATAATGTTTTTAGTCACCCAAAAGGTTTGGCTAGAGAATTGGTGGGAAAATTGTGGTCTAGGAATCTCTGAAAAAACAGTGTTTTTTAATTGGAAAAAAGAAGTTGACTTTCATTATATCAACTGACAAAACCATTCTTCTACAGAAAACCTTCTTATTTGAAGAAAGTGCCTAGAAAAGGCTTTATTTTAACCTCCGAGGTTTTGTATTTAAATCTTGGCTTAAGTTAAATTATTAATATGTCTGATCTAATTATTAGATTAAATTTTGCCACCATTGTATATACTATTTCTTGGAAATTAATATTTTTCTCAAGTAGAGAATAGAATACACAATACAGTATAAAATATTGCTTATGTTGTTAGAATTACTATATGAGGCAAGTGATACTTGGTCTCATTTTGTGTCATGTATTCAATGCAACATTATCTTAATAAGTGTAGAATTTTTTTTATTTTATTTTATTTTTTTCTCTTTTCTTTTAATCAATACAAACATGTCAATAATGATTATCATACGGTTTTGCTCATTGTCATATTTGATATATTTGACCAAATTTCAACTTGCTAATATAAATATAATACTCCAATAATATTAGGTTACTTTTATCCAATTCGACTCATTCAAGTTGAAGGGATGACTAATGCCAACAATGACTAAACTCTAATGCACTTTTTTTTTTTAATACAAAATCAAAGTATCAAGAATCTCATTGTAGTTGAGCTGTTTTAAATGCATGTGAACTCTTACGGTGTAACAAAAATAAATTCCCGTAAAGGAAAACTTTCACTAAATCGGCTATTCATCTATAAATTTCTTGTATTTAAATAACTCATTTTACTGAAAAAATATTAGGGTGTAGTGATTAGTTTTAAAGAGTGAGATATTAGAGATTCAAAATCTGTATCTTATCAATATTTTCGACCAAAATCCACCGCGGAATATAATTGAGAATCATTCTGTTTTTTTAATTGGTTTTCCAACCACGTTCAAATATTCCTATAAAATTTGACTGGAGGCCCCAAAATTGCCTGTTTCTCCCTTTTTTTTTTTTTTTTTTTCTCTCTCCTCCACACCCAACAGCAGGGCTGATCTCAGAAGCTTAGCTTTGTTACTGGGTTGCTGGGGATTTCTCAAAATCCTCATCACCTGAAAACAAAGTTGTGTTCTTGAAAAGAGGGTTTCAGTATTTTCTGAGGAATAAAAAAAAATACTAATTTGGGAAAAAAGGGGGAAATTCAAATAATGGGTAATGAAGAATCATCAACGGCTAAAAATGATGGAGGAATTGAAACCCAGGTGGTATTGAATGTGTATGACCTAACGCCTCTTAATCATTACACCTACTGGTTCGGTTTTGGGATTTTTCATTCCGGCATTGAAGGTTATTTCTTGTTACTTTTGCTATTATTTATCTAACAATTTCTTGATTTTTATTAATTTTACTCTATTTTTGTTAAATTGATTGATTATTTATATGTTTGATCTGGGTTTCTTTCCATTTGATCTGGGTTGTTTCACTATATCAATATGGTGATTGTTAGGTTATTGTTTGATTAGGGTCTTAATTTGGTGTTTTGTAAAATTGGTATTGTAAGTTGTTTGGACTCTTCCTGTTATGCTGTCAAATACTTAAAGGATCTCAGTATTCTATAACCATCTGCATTTGTGTAGTGAAAAAACCGAGCTCGGAAATATAAACCATATAGCTAAGAGCCTAAGAGGATTAGAGGAACCATGAACTAGAATAGAAGATTAATAAGTACATATTTTGTGGTAGTCCCATTAGATAGTATGTCTTTCTTGGTATATGAGCATAGAAAAAATGTATTGGGTTATAATGATGTTCTCTGAAATAATCTAATGTTGGTGATATTGTGGGATGGCACCATTTGATGATAGTTCTGAAGGTTTTGAAGGAGTAAAGAGAGTTGTGTGTCTATGATGGTTACTACGGACTGTAATCAGTTACCAGACATTTCTTATTAGTAAGTGTGTTTTCTGTATTGTTGTTATCCCATCATTCTCAATTCAAGATTAGTTACTTCTATTCTGTTGTTTTGACTGTAAAGTTTGGTGTACATTGATCTTGTATCGGAACATAAGGCTTCATTGGTCTAGATTTTTTATTAGAAGATTTTGTCTTGGACGTTGTGTTTTCTAGTTTTCATTGATTTATACCAGTGTGCTTCATTGCCTTCATGGCTATAGGCTAGGTAATTTTGCTAAGGCACTTCACTACTGATGCATCTTAGGCACTCTAGCCTCTTTTGACACAATTGATGGATCTTTTGGGTGCCTATTTAAATTTATGTACCTTTTAAATCTATTGTTGAAAAAAAAAAACTCATTAATCTCCATAATTTTACTCTTGAGTCTTGACATCTCATAACCTCTGCTAGTCTGCTTGTTATCCTTTCACTCATTCAGTCTTTATTGCATCTGTACCACTACCTTTTTATGGTGTTATGTTTTTGTATGTTAACATTTTATATGGTGATTGTTAAGGTTGTCCATTTTTCTTGTTTTATGTAGCTTTTTAGTAAATGCGCTTTGTCAACCCATGCATTTACTTTGAGATGGAAGGAGTATATAAATTTATACTATGGTATAAATGATGTCTTTATTATGGAAAGATCAGCATTAGGTCAGTAGTAGCTTCAATTGGTTTTTTTTTTTTTTTTTTTTTTTTGGTGGGAGTGGGAGGGGGGTGGGTTATAGATTGCTATTATTTTTTCTCCGTATTTGGAATCATGCACCTCACTTTGCCTCAGCAAAGACGGATCTGTATGTCTTCTAAGACATTGATTGAGAGTTTCCTTTAACTTCCTCAAAATCAAATCTCATTTATGCATCTTACACAAACAGTCCATGGCATGGAGTATGGATTTGGAGCCCATGATTTTCCAGTTAGCGGAGTTTTTGAAGTGGAACCAAGGAGCTGTCCAGGTTTTATATACAGATGTTCTATCTCATTAGGCCGGACGAGTATGTCCCAACCTGAGTTTCAGCATTTCGTTGAGCGAGTTGCTTCTGAGTACCATGGAGATACTTATCATCTCATCACCAAAAATTGCAATCATTTCACAGACGACCTCTCCTTTAGATTGACTGGCAAAAATATCCCTGGATGGATCAACCGTCTAGCCCGAACTGGTATGCCCTGCACTTTTTTTTTTTTTAAAAAAAAAAATAATTATAGTATTACACCGTATCTTTTCTTGGTTTCCATTGCATTCTTTTCACCTTCAGTAAGTGTAGTTTCATATAAACAATCATATTGACTTGATATCTTGAAATATAGGTGTGGCAAATCTAACAAGTCCTGCATGATATTATTTTATTTTGTAATAAGTATAATAGATATCTAATTGAGAAATAAGTTCAAAATTCAGAGAAAGAAATTTTGACCATGAAAAGAGAAATAGTCCAACCAAAAAAAACAGAGAAAGTATTTGGTTCACTGGTCTTGTTCTTCTATTTTGGACAAAGCATTTCAAGTTGGAAAGTACTCATTTAGCTGCTGAAAGTTCCTTCTTGCATGTTTTCTGATCTTTCCTTCACACATATGTCATACAAAACATTTTGTTCTCCAAGAAAACCCTGTTTGAAGGGCATATCATGTTCCGATATTCTATGTTTGAACAACTGGCTGCTATACCCTGCATCATATTGTTTAAGAATAAAACTCGTTTTTCTCTTGTATCACAATAAGATTTTAGTGGTATTTGATTGATGTGGGGGAATTTTGGACATGTGCTGTTTAGTTGTTCCAGTTAATTTTCTATAAAAAGTGGCCAACTTTGCAGAAAGTTTCATTTGACTTACCAGCTAGCAATATGGAATGAGTAATGTGACAAGTGATACAGAGTAAATATATATTTGGCTGTTTCATAGCTTTACATGCTGAGGTTTTGGTGTTTTCTGATTTTCCCATATATTGCTGTAACAACATGAACTACATTGAGCCTTGATCCACCAGGTGATGGTCCCAATAGTATCCTTGCCCTCAAGAAGTATAATACACTAGAGCCTTTTATTTCAACTTTAATGCTAAACTTTTTTGGGAGTGGGACTTAGGAGTTTGAAACCAAAAGGAAACTACTTTTGAAAGCTGTTCCAGCTAATGTTATTGGTATTATTGTGCCATATTTTGGATGATCCTTTCTGTTATCATCTGAGTATTTGATAGATAAATCTCTCACATAATTCTCTGTTCTTCTTACTGCTTCCACCCCAAATTTATTTTCCTGGATTGCTTTGGTGGAAATTAAGTTAAAAATAGTGGGCTGACCCGTTTGCAATATGTGATTAAAAAAATTGAACTGGATAAGAGTATTGGACTGATCAATATGGTAAATATGAAGATTTTTGGGGCTGAAGGAGTATTTGACTTTTTGCTGCTATGAAGAGTAGTACTACCTGCCTGAGGTAGGAGCCTCACTAAGGGTGGGGAAACGGTCATATTTGGGATGAGCTTTGCACCTTCTATTCTTTAGTGAACAATCAAGTCTGGAAAGGGCTAATAAAATGCAATTTTGCTGGATTTCAGGTGCTGTTTGTAGCTGCCTGCTTCCCGAGAGTCTGCAAACCACAACTATTAAACAGTTGCCCGAGTATCATGATTGCATAGGTATGTACTAAATCAACATTGTTTGTTCTCCTCTTGTAATAGTAATAACTTCGTAGATTTATACTACTCCCTTAATCCCTAGATAATAGGCCACATTTGTTTGGAATCTTTTTGAGAAATATAGCTGCAATACCATAATTATGGTATCACTTATGTTAATTTTTACATCTCCACCCAATGTTGTCTTTCTTTTAAATGACTCTTATAAAGTTATCACTAAGAGTAATATGTGAAAGTTCAAATTTTAATGTTCTCCGTAAGAAATTTAAATGTAACCTGATAGATTGGGATGAACTGAATTAGAATTGTGGCCTTATCTTGGTTTTGAGGTATGTTTACATGTACTTAAGCTTATGGTTTAATATGAATTCAGAAGATGGAATGGAATCGTCTTCAGTAGACAGTCCTCATGAGCACACTGAAAGCGAAGATACTGATCAAGATAAAATTCTGCTGCTATCACCAAAACCTGGATGTAATGATGTTGCTTTTATCAGGGAAGCAGAATAACAGAGGTGCAATCCGTTAGCTTCTTAGAAGACGTGCTTGCTAGAATGGCTAGCAGAGAGACCTCTACTTAAGGAGCTCTCCATTTCTGTATTCCCCGCGAATTACCTCCATTTTTTTGTATATTTTGGCCTCACCTTCTTGCTGGAATTAGTGAGTTGTATCATTGTGATTGCAATCTCAGCTCATGTTAGTCCTTTGCCAAAAGTTAAGGTTTTGCTTAAAGTTGGTGTAATTGTTATTATATTGCCCCGAGGGCTTTCTGAACTTTCACCAGTCTGTGATCGCATAATGATGTCAACCCGTTTTGTGTATGATCTTGAAGTGTTACACAATCAAAGAGACAGTTTATTAATGATTAGAGATTAGATTGTTAAAGCTACATTGGATGAGTAAGGGTGCAAGTAATATCACAACTATTAAGTGCTCCTTCGTCTCAAAGTTGCACGTCTTATTTGAATTTTGAAATGAAAGTATATCTAGTTATCTGGTTTTCTGTTAAATATCACTCTTCAATCACTGAATCGTATGAGTAATAGTTTTACTACAAAGTGAAAGCGTCAATAGTTCTGCCCAGTTTCTTTGTCAACAATTTTTCTCTTTCTAATTGCTTGTACATGTAAATGATTCACAGCTAATTTGAAGGGGCAAGCGTATAAAACCTTCATTATAATGCAATTGATTTCAATCTCATACCGTTCCATGCCGGTACTAGTGTTGAGGCAGCATTCGTCTAGAATCATGAAATAAAAAGGGGAAGGATGTGATTTTGGTAAATTATATCAATTATGAATCTACTAGGAAAACTTAAGATGCAGGGTACAGAGAGCTTGCACAAAGAACAAATACATTATACACAAATTATCGAGCAATTTCATATTATTTTTTTCCTCTGACCACAAAATGCATCACCAAATTATCATATAAGCCGACAATATGTGAAACAATCAAACCAGAGAAACACGAGTAACTCTGAAATTAACACATAAAATCTCACTGTAAAAGAGTAACCTAAATCATAAAAATGAATTTCCCCCTCTTTTATCAGGTTTCCATTTTTAATGAGCCCGGCATCAACCATCAAGATTCAATTTTGATTTGAGCCAACTACAAATATCCTGTATCTCTTCAGGGTGAGTGTAGTGACCAAGACTGCAATCAAAGCCAACAATAAGTGAATTTCAAACATGCAAAATATTCTCCAAAAAAAAAAAAAAAAAAAAAAGAATGGGGGGCGGGCATTAGCAGGATAAAATTATTATTACCCAGCGTATGATTTGAATGTGACGTCACCAAAGCCACTAGAAGACAATGCCTTCCAAGACTTCTCTCCAAACTTGTATTTAACAACATCATCAACTGCCATTACAAAAAGCTTTGGATTTATAATTTTTAAAAGTGGAGTTGGAGAGAGAATCATTTTATTCACAATATCACCTAAAATCCTTTTACTCCCAAGTACTTTTACCATTTCCCAGCAGGGTATGCCAGATAATATATTATTTTACCCAAAACTTCAAATGTTTTTGCACGAGTTCCATACCTTTGCCATGACAAAGCATTATAGGTAAAGATGCAGCCCGATTTGGAGCCTCGTTAGCAGCTAGCTTGTTGTTCAAGCTCCTAAAAAAACGTCCAAAAGAAGGTTAGTAAGTGAGAATATCATCAAAGAACATAGAGAAACAAGGGAAAATGTGTAGGTAGAAGAAGCCAACTTAGCACAAGGAAGCCAGCCGCTTAGCCCAACAACTGCACTCAGATTGACTGGAAACTCTTTTCCATTAGCATACTTCCTAGATACGTGGCATACTGCAGTATGAAGGGCACTTGCTGCACCCATACTGAAACCACCGACAGCAAGTTTAACTGCAGTATCAAACACTACACATATTAATACTACAATTCAACAACTTCTAAAGCCATGCTACTTATTAGAAAAAGCCAATTGTATCACAAAATCAATTATTCAAATTGTCACGCAACTAGCAAAAGTAATGGCATTTTTAAACAAAAAAATGTAATGAAATGATTGAAGTGAAAGGCAGTATCTCAATAAATATAAGCAATAAAAGCAGGGCTTCACTTTTATACAATTTATTTTTGTTGGGGAGGGGGGAGATATAGCATGAAGCAAAGAATGGAGGTCGAGAGTCCATCCATAATAATGGTTGCCAATATTGTAGAGTGTATCATATATTGCAATCTTATCTCTTTCTTTTTCTTTTTCTTTTTCTTAGTTTTTCATGCTAGAGTTTCTTATACTAGGGAATGCTTCTCAAAAGGAATAGCCACAGATCCATCCTAAGTACATCAGTGTAGCCAACACTACATTATGTATTTGGATGATAATGGTAAAGGCCTACAACTTTAGTTAAGAATGCTGTTCAATTGAATACCAAAACTAGCAGACAGTCACAAACTCACAACTGACAAGAGCTACAGAACTTGATAAAGTATAATTATTAGGTTTTGTTGACGAAGGTTTGTAATAAATGGAAGTAAATGTTGATATTGAAACATATTTCAAAGACTCAAAGAGTGAAATCTGATGAGGTAAATTCAAGTGGAAACCAAAAAAAAAAAAAAAAATCCACTACCAAAGGTTTAGTCGCTAGAATTTGTATTTCTTCCATGAGTTCCAGCTTATTCATTCCTAACTACCTTCCCCACCCCTAGCCAACTGCATCAGTTATCTACTCCCATGCTCTAGCAGGTGTTTCTCCACCATTAGTTAATTCATCAACATCAAACTATCATTCCTTTTGTGAGCGAAGTTGTTTTAGCTAAATCTGGTTACAGATTGTATCAGAATTTCGTTTGTTTTCTCTAACATATGACCACCACCGTATCAGATCAATCACCCAAACTGAGATTCTATAACAATAAAGAGGTATATGTTTACAATTATAATCCAGAATATTGCATTATATACACTAAAGATGATCAAACTGTGTGCCAACTAATCTCAGCAATAACAGCATTAATGTTCCCAACGATTGGCCAGGTAGACCAATGAGATATGGATGGTTCATTGGTTCCTTAGACTCACAGAGAGGAATTGTGGCAAAGGGAAAAAGTTTCCAATCATACATAGACTCAGAATATAAATTCAGGACTCTTAAAGCTACAGTTTCCCAAATTGCCTATGAACCCTGAATATTTATAGCCATCGCTTGAAAGTCTAAATGAAAGGGACATGCAGCTAAAAAGTGTAAACAAAGATAAAACTTAAGAGAAAGGAACCTACTGTCAGTGGGCTCAGTAGACAGCAAATTTACAACATGCGCTACAGTAGCATCCAGTCCCTCTTCATCATCCAGAGCATCTTCAGATAGTTCTTGTACATCAAACCCTGATTTAATTCGCATTGCAACCGATTATGTCAGCATTGCAAAACTGCAAAAATTCAGCTGTGGTCCATAACAGCTAATTAGCAATTTATTATGAAATCAGGATGGCATATGGGCAGAATGCAAGTGCATGCACAACAGCCACCATTGTGCAAAACTAGACAAGGTAAAGACCTTGTTCAGCACAATTCACTTCATACCTGAGCATAAAAAGCCCAAATATTGAGCATAACCAAATAAACACTTCAGCTCATATGATAGAAAATTTATTTTGTGCATACCATCATTGCAACAAGCCAACAACAACAAAATAAAATACACTTGTATATATTAGAAAAATAATAATAACATGATTTGATCACAAAAGGACAAAAGGTAGACAGTACAAATTCAATTTCTCAGGAGTTAAATGCAGCAATTCCTCATCATGAATTCATGATAATCTAGTATTAATTTCTTATTTTAACAAATTTTTGTACGTGAAGTATGCTCACTATGTGAGTTCCATTGTGTTAAAATCCACCTTCCTCACACCATGACACAATGCCATTTAAGCATTGATCACACACTACAGCACAATACATAGTTGAATTAAACAAACATTCATGCTATTGCATATCAACATATGCACATTCATATATTTTCTATCCCCTAAGAATATTAAATACAGTACATGTCTAAACATGTTAGGTGACCAAATCAAGTATTCATATCTCTCTAAAGAAAATGGTATCTAAGAGCTCAAATATGAGCTTGCAAAGCTATTGCACATAGGACAAATATCAAGAAAGATCTGATCAAACTCACAAGCAGTAGAAGGAAAGCCACCAAATAAACTAATGGGCCGGGTTGGAGCAGTAGGGCAGATCCATTTAATCTGCATTACAAAAAAATAATCACAAATAAAGTCCAGTCAAAATACTTAAACGCGAGAGAAAGCATAAAACCAAATTCAATTCAAAATTCTCACATTAGTCATAGGAAGGGTCTCTAAAATTTGTGACCAGCTGCCAGAAGAAACACATAACAAAGTTAGACAACTAGTTAGCATCCATAACATAACACCCACACACCAGACTAATAACTAAGCCACCACCCAAAAAAGAGAAGGAACATGTATTGCTGATATACAGTTGGATTATCTTTTCGAATCCAAATAGTTAAAAATAGAAAATTGAATGTCAGTAGAGGAATCAATCAACAAGGACATAGAAAAATAAAAGAAATTAGAAAACATACAAAAGAGAGGGGAAAAAAAACTGCTATGAGCAACAAAATATAATTAAATGCAGCAGAATTACCTTCCACCATTATCACCAAGGCCATGTAGCCACACAACAGTTGCCTGGTGCTTGCCTTTGGGCCTAACCACATAAGTCCGTCCAAATTCATATGCCTTTCTTGCAGCACTACCACCTAAAAAAGGAACTAGCAGAAAGTCAAATAGTCAACTACAAAGTACTTGGCTAATCATAAATCGAAAATTGGAATTCTAATTATGTCTAATAAAATTACTTATATAACCGCCCATTCTCATCTCAGCCGCTCAAAGCTTGATAACTCCAAAACTTAGCTCTACGTTTGGTGAGAAAGTAGTAGCAGCAAAGAAACTAAAACAGATTGAGAAAATAGGACTGACATTCTCTAAAACAAAGACACCTAGCTGTTACTCTCAATATCTAGGCTGTAACTGTAACAGTGTCCAACACATATCTAACATCTTAATCGAATATCAGGGTATTTGAGTGTTATCCTTCAGATACGATTCGGGGAAAAAATCCAACCTAATGTCAGATTCTTATACTAGTTCAACGCTTTAACAAAAGGACAGAAAAATTCTGCCTCTATGAATTCAATTTCAGTATGCCTCTATTCCAAAAAGACGGGAAAATGTCTAAACTTGGTTATCTTCAAGTAATAAAAGTTACTTATCTTAGTTATTTATCACCATATTCAGAATGATGCAGTGTTTCGGGACAGACAGAGTTTGTTTCTTTCTTTCTCCGAGCAATGCCATGTACTACTACACGTCATGATTAAAGGATTATGTCACATTTGTTCAATTGTCTTAATTTAAGTTCCACATCAAAATCAAAATCAAAACCAAAACTGCATATTCCCAAAGCAACTTCCACAAAATAAACCATATTATCAGCAGTAAATTACCCCATATATAACTATGAAAACTCGAAAAGCTTAACAAATAATGGTATGATTATTTGGCAATAATTAAAAGTGTGGAAGCAACTAACCTGAACCAGCAGATGCGCCACTGAAGCTCATTCTTGCAATATGTATAATTTCTGCAGCATTAAACCAAAACAAATTAATTATTTAATTATCTACAATAATCAAGCAATACTGGAACATCAATGCAACAATCCCAGAAGTCAACGATAAAAATACTCGCAATTATGCAATTAAAACACCTCAAAAATTGAAACTTATTCCAGAAAAACAAATAAATTTTCAGAAAATCCAAATGGATGCCCTATCCAAATAGAGTGAATTCCTCAAAAACGAGATCAAACATATGATTTATTTTCGCGGAAGAGATTAAATTAAAAGAGAGAAGATTACAAATTGAATGAAGAAAGTAATCGAAAGAAGAAAAATGCAGAAATTAGGGTTTAAGCGAGAAAATTAGGGAGAAAAAAAAACCTGAAGAAAGGAATGACGGAGAAACGGAGAGCAGAAGTTAGTTGTGAGGTGAGAGACTGACTATATGGCGTGGCATCCGTTCGTGTGTGCTTGTCCTTTTATAACCTTCATTCATTTTTATCCTCCTCATTCAACGGAATTCCGCCAATTCTTTTGGCGTTATTCTATCGCGTATTAGATTAGATTAGATTAGATAAGAGTTTTTAATACTACCCCCATTATATATTATTTGCAACGATTTGACATAAAATAGAGAGGAAAAATGTATAATCGTTGCAATAATGTGTAACGGAGATAGTATGTTCGATAGAATGTTTGAGGCGTTTCATTAATGGTGCTTTTAATTACTTCGATGTAATATTAAAGGTGTTTTAGGATTGGTGTATCTCGTAATTTAAATTTTATTAGGATTTTTATTTTCAAATTGAAAATAGATATTCTTTTTTTTTTTTGAAAGCAAATTGAAAATAAATATAATAGTCATTCACTTGCTAGAAATGATGTATGAAAGTTTGATTCAAGGTTATACTCTGTATTTGATTTGTCATAATAGTGACTAATTCAAAATATGCAACTTTCATGTTAAAAAATGATGAAAATCCTCATAAGATCTCAGTGCACTCGAAGCTAATATATTTGTACACACTACCACAAAGAGCTTCATTGCCCTTGACAAAGGTCTTATTTATGTGTAAGAAAATAGAAGGTAATATGGTATTAAAAAAAAATTTGGACTGCCAAAATCATCAAACATTATCAATATTTTTTTAATACTACGTATTACTGTATTATTTTTACAAGTTGTTCTTTACAATTAACCCTTAACTATGAAACTTTATAACCTTTCAAGTTTCAATATATTATTCTCGTCAAAAAAAAAAAAAGTTTCAATATATTATTATATTATTGCACCCAAAAAAATAATTGTATCATTCATACAACACTGTTTTGGTGGATAAAGTCGGACATTATAATCAATCAAAAAAGTTCATGCTTTTAAGTGGCCGTTAAAATTGCAAAAATCAAAATTGGTCAGAAACTCAATCAATATGAAAATTAAGTTAAGACTAATTACATATTTTGCCAAAAAGCAATTCTCTTAGAGATCTAATTAATCATTACATCAGGTTACTTCAAACTTTTCATCCAGTATTACACGACTTACACCACTACTAAAAAAAAAGTAAAAATCTAATTTTACAGAGCAAAACACAAAACATTGAACTAGTATCAACCAACACAGGTAAGCAGTATTGTGATTGATGTATCAAAGAAACAAGTATAAAGAAAAAAGGCTCCACGGGGTCGAAAATTTGAGATTCACCCCGGATTTCTTCGGGCTAGCTCGAGCATAGTAACGCCATCGTGACAAACACATTATCATCTCAGCAACATTACCTAAACACATAACCAAAATGCTCGGTGTTAGGATAATCTGGACTGAATAATTCGAAAAAGAATATAGAAGCAATGCCAATGCTGAAAAGAGCAATACATGTATGATGTATCTAACTGGCTTCCCACTAATATTAAAGCTGGGGTTTCAACCTTGGCATATTCTTCACAACACAGTTGACAGTACCTTCTCAAACTGAAAATATCAACAGGAATTTTTTGTAGAATGAAAGTAAGAACTTATGCCCACTATAGAGTAATAAGCAAATCACAGTAGTTTATTATACATGATTTCAGATGATTAACATGCAAAAAAAGGAGCAACTTTGATGATCTGATCCGTACATACTTAGATCCATACATATGCATTTATGCAATACGTACACGTAACACAAGAAAACTCAGGGGAGCATTCTATCAATAACCACAATGTAATGTTTATTGTACTACTAAATCATGACAAACAATGATAAAACGCTACAAAGGATCGACGAATTTAGTCCAACCCCGGGGCAAATATTGCTATTTTGGGCATATGTAAGGGCACTCAAACCAAACCCTCTCCCAAAAGGTGGGACCATTGTCCCAACAAGCTCAAAAGAAGCCAGATAGTTATGCATACAGAACATTACAAACACAACTTGTAATGTTATTCTTACAGGGAAGCCACTAGATGGCATATCCTGCTAAAATTCTGAATCATTACTCTGGTATGAAATTTGTGTATGATAGTTGACTTTTTAAAATGAAAGCATAAAAAATTAAAAATAATAATAATGAATAAAAACTAGCTGTCAAGCGTGTCATATTACTGAGTCAAGGACATTATATTTATGGTATGATGTCAACCAAGGACCAAAGACTTGATGTCAAGTATTGTCAACACAAAGTGCAAATAATGGAGAGTTGGAATGATTCCTACAACCGTGAATCCAACTTCTCATATTCTCCCACTTTTGCACATCTTTTGGAATAATGTCTTGTTGTTAAGTATCAGATCCGTGATTCAATAATGACTTATGCTTACAATCATGTCATCTTGTAGGTGATATCTCGAGTTTGGATTCCTCTCATTACTTAAAAGGCATTATGCTAAGATATATTGATTACTCTACGAAAGTTAGAAAATTTCATTCCGTTTTACAAGTGAACGTTTAATCATTTATGCACAGGGGTGACGTATAGGAAATTGGATGGAATTTATCAAGAAATGACAAGTTTTGTTGTCTTGTGAAATACCCTTTCTTATCCTAAAATTGAAAGTACAATACTATAACTTTTTTTTCCCCATTTCGAATGCAAGTTGCAATATAGAAGTCATATTGATCGGTTAAACCAAAAATATATATTTTTTTGCAGACATGACACAATCACTGAATTCATGAAAATAACAAATGCTCAACAACTACACACGAAATTTTTAAGCCAGGGGCATAGTATTTCACAGTTCAACCAAAATCTTAGGTTGAGAAAAGCATAAAATACAATGAATGATAGTGGAATATATAAAGAAAAACAGCAGTAAAATGAAGATGAAAAAAAGATTACCTTTTTAAGCTGCATAGGTGTTCTGCACCAGGCACATGAATTATCGGCCTGACACAAGTGTACCAGGCTCAAATGTTGATGTGCTAGCAGCTGTATTGCAATCTGATAGTACTACTCCAGTAGCCTTTAGCCTGCACATGCCAGGACCAACTTTATCTTTGTCAATGGATAACAGATCAACAATAATCATTTCAGTTTCTGGGGGCTCGTCCACTCGCATATTTCCTTCAAGCATATCAACCACCTGAGCCATGGTAGGCCTACGCCTGACCTTCTCTTGAATGCACCATAACGCGGTATACACCAATGTCCTTACCTGTCTCTCATCAATATGCCTTCCTTCCAATAGTCTTTGATCAACTAATGACATAAATTTCCCTTGTTTTGATTTTTCCACTACGGTTTTTGGAAAATACTCGTACTTCCTAACGGACCTATCTTTGCTATCATCAAGAACACGCACGCTTCTCCTCCCTCCAATCATCTCAAGAAGCACCATTCCATAACTATAAACATCGGATTTTGCAGAAATGCCATTTTCTAAAAGCCACTCGGGTGCCAAGTACCCCTTAGTCCCCCGGATATTAGTAAAGATACTGCTCTCACCTCTTCCCATCAATTTTGCCAGCCCAAAATCTGACACGACTGCTCGATAATTGTCATCGAGCAGTATATTCTCGGGCTTTACATCAAGGTGCAAGATTCTTGACCGGCAATCATGGTGCAAGTAAGAGAGAGCCTTAGCCACATCAATGGCAACACCATACCTCAAATGCCAAGGAAGACAACCTGCTGGTCGATTTCTTTTGTCCCTTCTAGGGAATATCCAACCATCCAAGGATCCATTTTGAACAAACTCATAAACAAGAAACCGCGGTCCCCCAGGAACAATGCAATAACCATACAATCTTACCAAGTTAATGTGCTGTACACTTCCAATCGCTGCAACTTCTGAAAGAAATTCCTTCTCCCCACGTTCCTGACTTTCTATCCGCTTCACAGCAACACAAGTACCATCTCCTAGGATTCCCTTAAAAACACTCCCAGATGCCCCTCGGCCAATCAGTGCGTTGAAGTTATCTGTAGCCAGCTCAAGCTCTTTTTGACGGAACTTCGTAGGAACACCTGCCACTTTTCTGAGGAAGCTACAGGGGACGGAAAGTTCCCGGGTCATCACATGTTTCTGAGGCAAAATAAGAACAGTTCCCTTGGACCGGCGTCTGATAAGCCATATGAAGATAGCAAAATTAACTGTAAGACAAACACCAAATACACAAAAGAATTGCCAGGTAGGTCCAAGATACAGAGCAGATACAGTAATCAAGGAGATGAGAGTCACCACCAATATCAGTGCAAGTATCTTAGAGCACTTGTCATCCATCATAAACTCAAAGCTAATAAGATGTACTATGAGGAAGAAAGCAATCTTCCTTCTTCTTTCCTCATATTTTGAGGACAGCATGATAGACAAGTACATCCATATTATTCAATACAATGTTGCCCAAGTCAACGATAAATTTTCTTCCCTTATATCATCTCCTTTGATCAAATCTTTTTAGCAATAACTGAAGCATCAACATACAATCCCTTTCTCATTATTTTATTCACATTAATTTCTTATTGATGGAAGTATTCATCAGCATAAAATTGAAACATTGGGGCAAGTTGGCCTAGTCATCCTACATAGTGCAAGACATGAATGATGGTAATTGCTTGTGTGTAAGATACAACTCATCCAAAATTAAAAGCATCCTACATTCACTTGTACTAAAAGATCTAAATCTAATAATCAAATCATTCAAATGCAAAGCCGTATTCTTAAGAAAAATTGATTATAATGCCAACAAAATTAATTATAGCCCCTAATATCAAAACAAAAATACCAAAAGCAGAAAAAGGTTCAAAAGGTCTGTAATTTTTCCTATCAGTTACTTCTCTCATAGTCAATGCTAACTCTGCCTCTAATTTAACTCTGCCTCTAATTTAGATCACACCGCATGTGAAGACACATCAAGTTAGATAAAAAAAATAAAATCTCAAAAAGCTCCCTAGAAATGGCGAGATCCTGCTCATACTGCTATTAGATACTGAGAATGTGACATGGCTTGTAATTGGCACAATCACTTTGACTCAATGCCCTTATTTTTAATTTGCACAATAACAAAAACTGAGTATGAGTATTCATACATGTCGTAAAATATAACATATGAAAAAAAATATATATAACTCTGTAAATACATGGTTTACTAATACAATAATACTGTTATACCGTTATTTGCTGAAATGCCAAAAATCTAGTAACTGTAATTTTTCCTGTACTTGTGCTGCCATACTGACTTCTAAGACAAGAGTGACACTGAAGTATGAGACTTTAGATATTCAGATAATCTCAATGGCCACTTCCAAGTCACCACAATTTCAAGTTTTCTGCTAAGCCAAATACAATAATAAAATCTCCAAGAACTTAATTGGATTTATAGGATTTCACCAGTGCAATTGAGCATTATCACATTACGAAAACACCAGTAATTTGAATCAGCATAAACAACTGTGGCAAGTGGAAACATACCCCTGATTAATAACCTATTCCATTTTAACAACCGTGGCAAGTGGATACAAGTCACTCATATTATTATTTGGTATGCATTCAGAAGGGACCCTTTTGAATCCTGCAATTGACTTCTAATATGCTTTCTTGGCAAGAGAACAGATGAAATTCAGAAGGGAGTCTAACAATTTTTTATATTGATCTTACTTCATGACTACAGAATTTTCCATATTTCTAACTTTTCTGGTGGGAAGAAAAAAATTTACAATTTACAAATAATAAGCAAGTAGTAACAGCTGTACTGGATCATCCCTCTTTTCAGGATGAAAAAAAAATTCCATTATTAGCGTTATAAGCCAGCTACAATGTTTTGGGATATTATAGAACAACAGCCAGAGACAAGTGTTACCAAAGATCATGTCAATGAGAGTCAGAGCTATATCTTAAACAATAACACAAGGAGAGGGGGGAAAAAAAGAAATATCTAACAGAAGAAAGTATTGAAATATTTACCTAAGTAACCAACCCCAATGCAATCACTAAGCTACTGATATGACAAAATTGTGATAGACTGATAGGCAGAATTATCAATCGTACATTGATGATGTTGAAGCAGCTGCTTGAGATTTATCGTTAGAAAATTGAGAAACCTGCAAAGCATTAGCCTTCGTATTATTCCAGCCTTGGATCTTCTCTGATTTCATCAACAAAAGATCGTGGAGGAACATTTTTGTTTCAGGGGGCTCATCAACAGGCAAACGGCCTTCAAGCATATTAACCACCTCACCAGTATTAGGCCTAATCTTAACCTTCTCCTGAATACACCAAAGGGCTATGTAGACCAGTCTTCTAACCTCATTCTCATCAATAATAGTTCCTTCTTCCAACAGTCTTTTATCAACCACTTCCATAATCTTCCCTGCTTTCATTTTCTCATAGACAGTTTTTGGGAAATATTCCCACACTTCCATTTCAGGCTTCGTGGACTTTCCTTTGAAATCTCCAGCAGACGACATAACGACGCTCCTCCGCCCTCCAATCATTTCAAGAAGCAACATTCCATAGCTGTAAACATCAGACTTTGCAGAAACTCCTTTCTCTAGGATCCACTCGGGGGCCAAGTACCCCCTAGTCCCTCGAATTCTTGTAACAACCATATTTTCCTCTTTACCCATCAACTTTGCAAGCCCAAAATCTGTCACGAGTGCTCGATAGTTATCATCAAGAAGTATATTTTCTGGCTTAACATCAAGGTGCAAAATCCTTGAATGACAATCATTATGGAGGTAGCAGAGAGCCCTGGCCACGTCAATGGCAACCTGATGCCTAAGCTTCCAAGGCAAGCAACCACCTGGCAGCTGTTTTTTGTTGTGTTCACGAGAGAAAATCCAGCGATCTAATGAGCCATTTTGAACAAACTCATAAACAAGGAAGCGTGGTCCTTTTGGGATAATGCAATAACCATACAGGTGTACAAGGTTCATGTGCTGTACACACCCAATTGTCGCCACTTCAGCTCTGAATTCCCTCTCTCCCCGTTCCTGACCTTCAATCCGCTTTACAGCAACACAAGTCCCATCCTTCAGCATTCCTCTATAGACACACCCTGATCCTCCCTGGCCCACAATTGAGCTGAAATTATCCGTTGCCAGTAAAAGTTCTTCATGTAGAAACCTTTTTGGAAGCCCCAATCCTTTATTTAAACCAGAAAGTTCCTTGTTCCTTGATAGCTTCTCCAGTTGGGTAAAAACCCATATTATGATGCCAAAGGACACAATCATGATAATTCCAAGAACAGTGAAGAAAATCCAGGGTGTTTTCAAGAAAACTGCAGCAGCAACGAACAAGATGAGAAGGCCAGAAAGCAGAAATAAACCAAGCAGCCTAGTTTTCTGCTCTTCCATAATTGCTTAAAATGCTCTCTCAGAATTTTCTAGGGAAGATTTACACATACTTTGGAATCATGTAGACTATGAATGAAGCTTCAATGTTTCCATCTAGCAAAGATTGATCCTAAAATGAAGTTTACCAGTGATTTCAGGTTCTAAATAAGACTTTTTTCTGTCAGAGACAGGGAACAAGGAAAGAAGATACTATTAAATATTCCACTTAGTATATGCCTTTTTCAAGCCATTAGCAAATGAGTCCTTCTAACAGAGGATATCTAATCTTGTCCTGAAGCTGTGACAAGCTCATCAGAGAATAGTTAACTAAGCCCCCTCTATGAAAAGTGTATAATAGTCCATTTTCTAATGTTGAAGATTCTCGAAAATTATCCTGATTCTTTCTTCTAAGCATTGTCATTAGCTGCCATAAGTCAATCAAACAGATGACATCAGATAGAGGTTTGACCATTCGCTAATGCAGAAGGTATAAAGACTATAAACAAATGAATATGACTCATGGAACCAACCCAATTGACTTGATCAAATTAACAACTGCTTCTCATGTAAAGAACATCAATTAATCCAATTATAATAACACAAATAATAACGCAGACATTTATGTCCAGATAGCTCGATTAACCGGGACATAGTTGTTAACCACAAAAAATCATGTACACACAAAGTAGATCGAGCATGAAGCACCATGTAATGCAGACATTAAAAGGCATGGCTAATACTAATTGATAATAAGAAGTTCTTGTGTTTCATATTAATGCTTCATTGCTTCAACACTTACAATAATTAAATGACAAGGTACACTTCAAACTACAAGGGTTAGTGGGCATACCGCTAAAGGAGATTAAGATCACTGTTGCAAAGTTTTCATCCATTCTCAACAAATATGATTATATGAAAGATTGAAATATCATAGTTGCCAAGTTTTCTATTGTTAAAAGTATGTTATTGAACTAAAAAATATCTCCTATAATTTGGGCAACTTTATTGGAGCATTTTTGTTGTAGCTTGAAATATGATTTTTAGGTGGATGTGCTAAGCTATCTAGCCAAAAAAAAATTACCTTGCTTGAATCTAAATTAAAGAAGAAAAAAAAGCATATGGATTGATATATGGGGTCATTCAAGCTACATGTAGTATCAATTATAGCTCTCCATTGGAGAAGATCAGAAGATTGTAGCATAATATTAATGTGACAAATCTATAAGAAATCTTGCTTAACTATTAGAGACATCTTTACTTCTTTATTACTAAGTACGAACTATCAATTAGTCAATCAAGAAGCATTCCTATCAAGAGTTTAATACTCTCAATTATATTTCCAATCAAGGGTACTATAGTGAGGCTACATCAATATCCCCGTCCCCTTCCCTCACAAGGAACAATGTGTGGAATCGGAAACCCACCTAAACTCTTTTTTCTTCCCAAAATACCCTTTCAAGCCCGGAAAACTCAATAAACTCAAAAATTTTATATAGTACTTTGTATATGCCAAAAACTTCAAACAAGCCCTCAGACCGACACACACTATGCTAGCCTGCTAGGGTCATCACTCGTCCGTCCTTCATACCCTCACCCAGCCAAACCACAGAAGCATAGACATATTAGTTCAATTACACCAAGTATTAAGTTATGGTAGTACTATATTCTACACCAACCTATCAGAAAGCAACCCAAATTTATATTTACTAATACTAACTCAATCAGATAATCTTAATTAATGACCCATTATGCTTTATAATTGGGGCAAAATCTTAATATGGCTTTCAGAAATGTTAGTCTTTTCCTTGCTTGTAAATTCTAACAACCTCATTCTTCTTAGCTGCATAAATTATTGACCAAACCTAACTGAATAACATAGTTTATTCAATATTTCCATCAAATCAAAAACACCCTTTGACTAATAATTCAAATAAAAATACAAAACTAAATATTTGATGAATAATATACTAGCAACAAACAATGGTGGACATTTGGGCAAGTAGATACATAGAATAAAGAAAGAAATGAAGAATATACCATGCATATTTGCTGATGAATTTCCACAAACTTTACTAAAAATCTACAGTATAATAATTACTTATTATTGCCAATTAATGGAGAATAAATATTTGGAATTTTATAATTTTGTACCTGATAGAAGCACTCTTTGCTGCTGCACAAGAAGCCCAAATGTGTCGACTTTCTTATGGATTTGGCTTCGAATACGAAGTACCTGCATTTCGATTTCAGATTTCAAATGAGTACAAATGATCAAATTACTTTTGGCCCTAATTTCAGAAAACTCTAGTTTGATTTTTCACCTTCTTCAATGTACGTAATGAAAAATGCTGCTTTCGATTGTGTGAAATAAATTACCCAAAAATCATGAAAAGTTAATTCATTGAAATTGCACCTCGAGTCAATGCTAAAGATGTCAATTTGGGTCATTTATCGGTTTTTTCCAATTCAGCGTTTAATTTCAAACTCAGTTCAGTAAATCAAAACGGGACTTTAGTTTGGTTGAATTGAGTTCATTAAATTGGGTAGATTAGGTTACTGTCAGACAAGTTTAGCTTGAGTTTTAGTCGAACCATATTGGAGTCATGTCAATTTGAACTAACATCGCCGGCATCAAAATATTATGTGGTAAAGTAAGCTAATTTTGCAATTAATTTATGAATAAATATTATTGTGTGGTTACGCAAAAAATAACACCGGTGGTGTTAAGGAAAAAGAAGAGAAGTAGAGAAAGCGAGAACCATAAATGAGTAATGAAAGAACTAGACTACTAGAGCGTTGCAAATATAATGTTGTAATTTTAGTGAAACAAATGAAGTAGATTCCCTAAACTACTCATCTACCAAGGATCAATTAGAGATTTAGACGAAATCGCTAATAATGTTTGTATAGTTCGAAAATCACAATTGGGAAATTCTAATCTGTGGCCCCCATATTTCTTCAATTTCTCAATTGTACCCTCAAAAGACGGTAGTTGAGACGGCATTTAAGTCTGTCAAATCTTCACCATTTTTCTCACTAAAAATATAAAATACAATGCACCCATTTTCATCTTTACTTCCCCCATCAATTATGCTCTGTTATACGAGAGCCCAAAAAAAAATTCTGAAATTGTTTCAAGATTGAATTCGAAGCTAAGGTGAAGAGCGAAAGCAGAGGAGATTGAATAATTACGATCGAATGTATGAGTAGATACATACAAAGAATGGGTTTTTTTTTTTTTGAACAATTTGTGTTCCGCGATTTACGATTGTTGGGATTATGTAGTATAATTGTAGGAAATTTAAAGCTAAAATATAATCAATGGTCAATAACTTGTTGAATTGATGATAATTAGTTCATAAACTTAATTGAATTTTTTTTTCAACTGAAATTTAATTGAATTTAGGGATTCACTTTTTCATTCACGCTTGAGATCTGAACTCGAATCTGCTCCAAATCATCATCTCCAACCTTCAACTTCTCACTTCCTCGGACATCACTTTCTTGCAACCACGTGAAATCCCAATGAACATTCTAAATTGGAAGAGAACGAGTGACTTGATTTACAGATTTGCAAAAAAAAAAAAAAAAAAATAAATAAATAAATAGGAAATGAAGGTTGGAGATGATATATATCATAATTAACTTAACTACCTAACGGCAGTTTAACGGCAAAGATATAATTTGTAACAGTGTCAAAGGTTGAGGGTACAGTGTGTAAGTTTGTAAAAGCGGGGGTACAATTGAGAAATTGAACAAAGATGAGGGCACAACTTAGAATTTCCCATTTTTTTTTAAGAAACGTTAGCCGGGTTGTATTATTAAATTAAATCAAGTTCCGCCAAAGTGCTGAAACTTTGAGGAAAAATCATAATTAGGGCATGTTCCGATTGATTGAATTCAGCTGAACTGAACTTATTAATTAGTGATTTTTAACTACGGATTAGTGATCTTTGATTATTTATTGATTATTTATTACTATACATATGTGTATATACAAATGTACATATTATTATTATTATTATTATTATTATTATTATTATTATTATTATTATTTATTGATTATTATTATTATTATTATTATTATTATTGTTGTTGTTTTATTATTATTATTTATTGATTATTATTATTATTATTATTATTATTATTATTATTATTATTGTTTTATTATTATTATTATTTATTGATGATTATTATTATTATTTATTGATTTTTATTATTAGTATTATTATTTCAATTATTATTGTTATTATTATTATTATTATTTATTGATGATTATTATTATTATTTATTACTTATTGATTATTATTATTATTATTATTTATTACTTATTGATTATTATTATTATTATTATTATTATTATTATTTATTACTTATTGATTATTATTATTATTATTATTGTTGTTTCAGGGTTTTCTGATGTCCTGCGGGAGAGTTACAATTCCGAGACTGGAACCGGACGCCTGTACCTGCAAAACAAACGGATGCTCCGGATAATTGGAGATCCGCCTCCGACGGTCAAGTTAGTACTTGATTAAGGAGTAATTAATGCGGAAATTAAAGTGATTGGGTCTCTCTAGGTGAGAGTGTTTAATGTGTGTAATCTGCGTCCTCCCCCTTAATGAGGATTAAGGGAGGTATTTATAACCTCGGGAAACGCGCCAACCCTAGGTTTAGGTTAACCTTGGGCTGATTGGGCTTCCCTCGGAAGTTGGGCCTAGGTGGCCAACTTCTCCATTAGGCATGGAGTATGCCACAGTGTCATGACATAATAGGTCCAGGGTGGACGAATAAGTGTGTGCCACGTGGCAAGCCCTGAGAGGTCCAACTGGGGGACACTTGGCAGGACCTGATTGGCCCACGTGGCGCATTTCGATTGGTGGGAGCAAAATCCCCTAATCATTTGCCCCTCACAGGTGGCACGTGACTGGTCACGTGTTACCTGTGACAGGTGTCGCCCTGTAACAGGCGACGGCCTGCTACAGGTGTCACTCGGCGAAAGGCCGAGAGATTCTCACGCCCAAATTTTGAATTCCGGAAGTGACCCTTCGCCTTCTCACTTTGCCTATATAAGGGAGTGTTGCCTTCGGTCATTTTCACACTTGAGAACTTTGTGAGAGAACATTCGGACCCCTGAACTTGCTCTGACATTTTGGACCCTTTCTGCCTACCGCTTGCTCTGACAAGCCGACTGCAAAGGATTTTCAGAACTTCATCAATCGTCACTCGTTCAGGTAACCGTCGGTTCTCTTACTCTTAATTTTCTCTTTACTTTATTCTTTTTTGAAATGGCACCACGGAAGCACACGACACGACCTAGGTTAGTGATCAGCCGGTCACCGGGGACGGCTGAATCTAGGACTAGGAGTGTCGCCTGCCCTTTTCTGGACCCATCTTTGCCCTTTATACAAAGTCCGACTGTATCTGTGTCTATGCAGAGCATGATGGCCAGGACAAAAAAGACTGCCAGGATCTCAAACTCAGACGGCTCCTCCCACCGGGTGTCGATTAGTGAAACATCTGACCAGGCGCCAGATGTGAAAGTGAAACAAAGCGGCTTGAAAGCCGGCAGTTCTGAGGGAGGAGCCAAAGTGACCCCTTCCCATTTTACAGTTGACAATTCTACATTCTCTCCTGCTCCTTTTAAAGGAGAGGAGGCGGGCCCCTCTGGGAGAGGGGAGGAGTCGTCCTCTTCGGACTCGTCAGAGGACGAATCCGAGTCTAGCTCTTCTGGCCATGCTTCTCTGGACACAGAAGAGAAAAACAGTCGCCTACAAGAGGCGAGGCTTTCTCACGCAGTTGAGAAGGGGGACAATTGGGCGGAGCCATCCGCCTCTCACCGAGAGCAAAATACCCCCTACTACTGCTCGGTACCTCGGGGCCGGATCACGGCCATGCAAGAAAAAGTGGGGAGCTTTATCGCAAACAACACAATGGGCCCCGACTTTTTAGTGTTCGTGCCGGATCCAGAAGACACAGTCGTCTGGCCGGCTGGTACTAGTTATGATGGCGCCTGCTTTGGCTGCTACGAGGCGACCATCAAGGCTGGGCTGCGCTTCCCACTACATCCGGTTGTTCAGCGGATCTTGGATGGGTATGAGTTGGGGTTATGGCAGTTAGCCCCGAACTCCTGGGTCAACGTACTCGGCTATGTGGCCGGGTGCGAACTGCACGGGGTGGAGCCAAACTTCGAGGCTTTCGCCCACATGAACTACCTCAGTCGGACCCCTAAGGCAGGCGGTACCGGTTGGTATCAATTGACGAGCCACAGGGGCTACCTCATGACAAGAGGTAAAGCAAACAAATGGAAGGATTGGCGGAGCACCTTCCTTATCATTGAGAGTTCAGACACAGAGCTGAACAAGCGCTTCAACAGGTGGAACAGGAATCCGCCCCTTCTTGCAGGCGGCCGCAGCATGCCGCCTGTTCCCCCCAAGGCTAAGAAAGAGATCCTAGATAAAGGACTCTTCAAAGTAGAGTCGAAGGTGAACTCTACTACAGGGGTACGAGAGCAAGTACCCCTGCACTGCGTCCCAAGCTTCAAATGGCTCTACGACGAGTACTTTTTGGCCGCCTGTGGCCTCAGCAGTCGGTGCTCAAGAGGTAGCCGTCCTGTCGAATACTCTGTTGTTCCATGCATTTCTTGTTATGACTTTTATTAACTTTGCTATTTGTTTTTGCAGCGGACGCCATGAGCAAAATTACCGCCTCCAAGACTGCGACGGCCATGTTGCGGGCCTCCATCATGCAACAGTCTTCAACCGACTCCCCCAACAAGGGGACACCCTTGGTGGGCTTCAAAACTTTCACTCTCTTTTTGGAGTTGTGTTTATGCATATACTGACTCTTTTCTTCTTTTTTAGACGGGCGCTCCAAGAGCTTCTTCTTCCCAACAGCCGGACTCCAAGGCCCGGAGGACGACTGTTGCGAGCTCTCCTGGTTCTTCCAGGAAACATGCGGCGGCTGAGAAACAGCCGGCCACTCCTTCCAAAACTCCAATTGGGCCGCCTAGAAGTATGAAGTTGTCCTTGTAAATTTTAGACTTGCTCCCTTCTTTACTAGGTCTAATCCGTTTGTCTATGCTTAATGCAGCCGGCCCTCAGGAGCCTGACTTGTTCGAGGTGGCCAAGTCTATGATCAAGGCCGTTCCTCCAGCTGAAAGAGAGGCGGTCAGGGGTGTTGGCACCCTTGACCTAGACGGGATTGCAGGAGTCCTTGCTGAGGTATACTTAACATATTTTTGAGTATTTGAATTCCAGGACGCCTTTTTTTTTTTTTTTTTTTTGGAAACTGACGCTTGTTCCCCTTTTTACTTAGGCCCTGCTTCGAGTAAACGGCCTCCGTAAGCCGCTTGACAGGAAGAACAAAGAGG